TGGGGACAACCCCGAGCCTGGCACGACCTCCGGCAGGGACGGGGCCCGGCTGGAGTTGGAGGGTTCCTCGTTCTTGCGGTGCTGGGCGCTGCCCTCCCGCCTTCTGTGCCTCAGAGTAAGGCAGCAGTGAGCACCTGGAGCGTACCCGGCTGCTGTGTAGCTGCTCCCCCTTGGAGATGTGTGTGTCTGCTCTCCAGCAGCGTGTTGTGCCCATCTGTTCTTGCTTCTGCCCCTGAATCTCTTAGATGGGGTCACCCACACAGATTGTAGACCACGGACACGGCTTCCAAGGAGAGCTGACCTGGGCCCTGCTTTGCCACGTTGGCGCTGCAGATGTCTATGGGCAAAGGGTGCTTCTTTTCCGTGCTTGCCAGGGCTGCCCTGGTGCCAGCCTGTACCAGAGGGGCTGAAGATGCCATCTCCTCTCTGCCAAGCAGAGCTTGAGGATCCACCCACTGCTCTTTGGTGGGGGAATCCCCTCTGGAGCTGTGCAAAGCAGTGTTCCATCTTCGGGAGGGACACAAGTGGCCTTTGGTAAGGCTGAGCACTCTGGCTCTGGGTCCAGGTGTTCCTTCCCTGCCACCAGTCTTGGTGTCCTGGTCACCACCTCTGCTTGGCAGTGGCGTGGTGCTGCAGGGGTCAATCTGCACAGCCATGGCCAAGCACAGCCCTCCTTATCTCGCTGCTTTCTGAGCTGGTGGCGACAGCTGGCACAGGCAGATAAAGGTACAACTGCTGCCAAGCAGTAAATCATGGCTGCTGCCCTGCCCTGCTCCACCAGCCTCGGCTGGGCAGTGGCAGTGAGAGGAGTGGGAAGAGTGCTTTCCTTGCCTTGTTTTCCCCTCACAGAGCTTCCTGCCTCTGCCAGCTCACCCCTTGTAGACTCTTTCCATGACTTTTGTCTTCACCGGTCCCCTGGGAGGAAGGGACACAGCCCTGGGGGCTCTGTGTATAGTTTTGCATCAGGGTGCCAGCTGAAGGGGGTGCAGGAGGGGGCAGCTCTGCCCCCCTGGTTGCCTTTGCTCTCCCTCCTTGCGTGTGGCTTTCCTGTACTGGTTTTTGGGCTAGACAGGGTCACAGAGTGACTCTAGGCCCCCAATACCATCTGAACCAAGCAGTGCCAGGCTCAGCCTGGTGCTCCTGTCCCAGCACATCCCATCTCCATCTTCTTCCCAATGGCAAGAAGGCAGTTTCCAGATTTCTCCTACTCTTTGTGCCAGCAGCGTGGTACGGCAACCACAACCCCAACCACCTGTGGACAGCATGGAGGAGCAGGGTCTGCCTCTTGGCACCATGGCCACCTCAGCAGGCTGGGGCAGGGCTGCCTAACTCCCTGTTTGTCCCTGAACCACAGGTTGGAGTGCCAGACGAGAGGGGCTCTGTGTCTGCTCCCCGCCCGGGGCCTGCCCTGCCCTCCGCCGCCGATGGAGTATGTGGTAAGGACCTCGGTGGAGGGCTCAGTGGCTTCGGTGGTGGATCCTGCCTGCCTCCTCTGCCTTCTGGGAGGTCTCCAGCCTCTTCCCCACATCTGCACTGGGATCTCCTAACCCCCTTTCAGAGTGAAGGAGAGTAAATGTTGTTCAAAGCTGTTGTGATGAGTGGGGGAAAAAATCAGCTGTTGGCTGGATTTGAGTGTTCTCCTTTGCTTCCCCCCTGCCTGAGGTTCAGCATTGGACAGAGGGGGCCTCCTGCCCATGGTGAGGTTTGTATGTTTGTGTGGCCACCTGCACCTTGCTGCGATTTCTTGCCAAACCACTGGTGTGTTCCTGGCCTCTGCCTCAGCTCCCAGTTTTTTTCCCAGGGAGGATGTTGGTAGCAGAGCCCTGAGCATCCCCACTCTGCTTCTCTTCCTTGCCCCAGCTGCTGTGTGAATTCCCAGTCTCAGGTGCCTGAAAGTAGACCACATCCCTCTGTTCCTCATGATGCAGCTCTTTCTGTGGTGGCAGGGCACATGGAGCAGGACATGTCCCCAGAGCTCCTTGGGGGCAGTTGTTCCAGCTGCTCTGCTGCAGGGGTAGGAGCTCCTGGCATCTGCCTGGCAAGGGGCAGGGCTGCAGCCTGGGGATGGGGTTTGGGACTGCCTGTTGAGGCAGGGCTGGTGTTCTGTGCCTTTGCACATCTCCGGGTTTGCCTTGTGCACTCAGAGCCCGCTGTGGGGCAGCTCTGATGCAATATAGCTCTGATGGGGCTGGGGGGCTGTGATGGCAGCACCTCTGGTGTCCAAGAGCTGCCATGCATCTTGAAACAGGCTGTTACAGACTGGCCTCGAAGGTTCTGAGAGAATCAGGAATTACTCTAGCTAATAAAAGCAGAGATGTGTCTGTGACAGTGTTCACAGGGGTTTTTGGATTGGGGAAGAGACGAGGATCTGACTCCATGTTTCAGAAGGCTTGATTTGTTATTTTATGATATATATTACATTAAAACTATACTAAAAGATTAGAAGAAAAGGTTTCATCAGATGGCTGGCTAAGAATAGAATAGGAAAGAAAATGATAACAAAGGTTTGTGGCTCTTCTCTCTGTCCAAACCAGCTGGGCTGTGATTGGCCATTAATTACAATCTAAGATGAGCTAATCAAAGATCTACCTGTTGCATTCCACAGCAGCAGATAACCATTGTTTACATTTTGTTCCTGAGGCCTCTCAGCTTCTCAGGAGGAAAAATCCTAAGGAAAGGATTTTCCATAAAAGATGTCTGTGACAATGTGTCTGAGCAGGAGTTTCATCTGGGAGGCTCATGAGCCCTTTGCTGCCTGGAGGTGATGGCAAAGGGGCCAAGGACACCCTCCTGCCCCCTTGCAATTCCCTCCTGCTCTCATCCTGGGGAAGCATCAGGGCTCAAGAGCTGCTGTGCCAGGCAGGCCCAGGCCCACATCAACCATTTTGTCCATCATGGGCAAACCCCAGTGCTCTGTGGCCCCTTGGTGCTGCCCATCAGGCTCCCCTGGCAGCAGGGCTGCACTGGCCCCTCACCGGGCCAGCAGCTTCCTGCCTCCGGGCTTCCTGCTTTTCTTTAGAGGAGTGCTGCTGCGGCCACAGGAAGGTCACAGCTCTGACTGAGCAGCCAGGGGCCCCTGGAGGGGACAGGCAGTGTGGAACAGCTAGCACGGGCTCTCTGTGCCTGTGGGACCAGGTGGCTGAGCTGGGGGGGCTTGCCCAAGGAGCTGCTTCAGTGATGGCCCCACTCGTGTGTGCCACAGCCTCTCATATCACAGAAGTGGCAATTTCCAGCCCTGTTGTGGCTTTCCCTGTCCCCATGGCATTGTACCAGGCTTTCTGTGCCTGTGGGACCCCCGTGGCTGAGCTGGTAGGCATGGCCAAGGAGATGCTTCACATGGTGCCACAGCCCCTTGCATCATGGAGGTGGCAATTTCCAGCCCTGATGTGGCTTTGCTTTCCCTGTCCCCATGGCAGTGTGCCAGGCTCTCTGTGCCTGTGGGACCACCGTGGCTGAGCTGGGGGGGCTTGACCAAGGAGCTGCTTCAGTGACGGCCCTACTCATGTGTGCTACAGGCCCTCACATCATAGAGGTGGCAATTTCCAGCCCTGTTGTGGCTTTCCCTGTCCCCATGGCAATGTACCAGGCTTTCTGTGCCTGTGGGACCACCGTGGCTGAGCTGGGGGGGCTGGCCTGGACAGAGCTGGGGGGCATGGCCAAGGAGATGCTTCAATAACAGGTTCAAATGGTGCCACAGCCCCTCACATCGCGGAGGTGGCAATTTCCAGCCCTGTGGTGGCTGTCCCTGTCCCCATGGCAGTGTGCCACGCTTTGTGAAGTGGGGCAGGCAGCTGCCGGTGCCAAGCGGTGCTGGGGGAAGGCTCCAAGCAGGGAGAGCCTTTTCCTTGGCCTGGGTTTACCCAGTTTTGGTTTGTGGACAGAGCATCTGGTGGTTCGCAAGGATCTGGCTTGTGATCCTGGGTTCTGTCTGAACTCCTTGCCCCATCCCAGAGGGGATGGGGGGAACTCTCATCTCTGAGTGGGGCCAGGGCTGTGGAGGGCAGCACAGTCGGGCTGGCTCGAGTTCCTGCTGCATGCAAGTGCGCCGAGGGTAGGACAACAAGGGAGAGCTGCCCCTGAGCCCCCTGATCCACAGGTGGGAGTTTCACCCAGCTCCCCGACGCTGAAGGGGCCAACTTTTCCTCCCCCCCGGCACGTTCCTGCCGCCCTCTCCCGCTAGCTCCGCCTGTGACCTTGATTTTTCTGCTCCAGATAAGCGCGGCGTCCCCACCCCTCGCCGGGAGCCCCTCCTGCGCTGCCGCCCCAGCCGCGGCGCAGCCGGGCAGAGCCTGCCCCGCCGCCTGTGAGTCAGCACAGCTCTTCCGATCAGCCGCAGCCCCTCCGTCTCTGCTCCCGGCAGGAGCAGCCGGCATGCGGGAAGCAGCAGCGATTCGCTGCAGCCTCTCCCACGGGCTCCCCACCGCGGCTGGGGCTTTGTGCTGAGCCCTGCCTTACCTGTATCCTGCTCCTGGCCGTCCTCTGTTCTCCCAGCAGCCCTCCAGGCAAGATCTGTGCTCTCAAAAGGACTGCATGTCCCCGTATTCCAGGAAGCTGCGAGCGCCGCTGTCATCTCAGCATCGCTGCTGCTCCCCCCGGCAGAGCCCGGCAAGCCAACAGCAGCTGCTCGCCGCCGGCACGTGGGTTGGGTGGCGCTGGCTGCCACACAAGGACCTTGTTCCCTCCTGGACAGTGCTCGGAGCAGGGCTGGGATGGGCTTGGATGCTCTCTGTGTCTGCCTCATCTCCGGGCTTTAAATATTCATGCTTTTGATTTCCTCTTAGCGGGCAGCGACGCAGGGGCTGGAGCGAGCTGTGGGGAGGAGGAGGGTGGCCGTGCCGAGCCCAGCAGCAGGGCAGAGGGAGCTGGAGCTGGATGAAGACAATGGGTTTTGTTGCTTGAGGACCTCCAGGCTGAGCCCAGAGCGTTCTGAGCTCCCCTCCCTGTGCCAGCAGCTCCACGGCCCCGTTTCCTCCCGGCTGTGGCGCGTTGCTCTCAGTCTGAACGGATCTGCACATCCTTCTGCTGCTGATCACGACTGATCAGCTGTGCCAGGCAGCCCCTGGACCCGCTGCCCGGCGTGCCAGGCCCAGCTCTCCCTGCCAGCCATGTGGGGCTGGCGTGGATCTAGCACAGAGTTCAGCCAAGGCTTCTGCTTGGGGGCAGCTTCCTGGCGGCTGCAGGCACTTGGACTCTCTGTGGGGCCCCTGTGAGGCCCAGCTGGCTGCATCCACCCTACTGCCACAGGGACAGGGCGCCTGTGGCCCTTCTCACCTGCCTCCAGCATGGATCTCCTGCAAAAGAGCAAATACAGCCACCTGAGGAATGAATCTGTCTCCTCTCCGGAGGAGGCCGTGGCAGGCCTGCTGCCCTCCCCAGTGGAGTCCCTTGCAAGCATGCAGTCTCTGCCTGATTCCCTGTCCTCCTCCCTCAGCCACGCTGCGCCTCTCGTGGAGCTCTCACCTGACTTGGAGGAGAGCCCTACCACCCTGTGCTCCTTCTTCCCCAAAATGGCCAATCTGAAGCTCTCCAATCCCGCCAACTTGCTCAGCTTGCGGGGCTCTGCAGCCAGCAGCAGCCCAGGGGAGCCTGGTGCCCCTGGGATGGCAGCACTAGTGCCAGGGGGTGGTGCCAGCCCTGGCTCAGGGAGACCTGTCACTGTCTGTTCCCAGGATATGAACAAGCTGAGCTGTGGGAAGAAGACGCGGGTGGAAGGCGGCCAGCTGGGGGGTGATGAGTGGACCCGCCACGGCAGTTTTGTCAACAAACCCACCCGTGGCTGGCTGCACCCAGATGACAAAGTCATGGGCTCTGGGGTCTCCTACCATGTCCGGGTGAGTGCTGGGGACGCTGGGAAGGGGCACTGTGGGGATTTGGGGACCTCCTGGTGGGAGGATGCACCAAGATCTTTGGGAGGGGTGGGGGTCAGGACAGTGGGATTCCTGGGGAAGTTACTGCTGTGAGCTGGGGTGCTTGGGGGACAAATTCCATGGCTGGCCAAGCTCACCTCGCTCTCTTGCACAGTACATGGGCTGTGTGGAAGTGCTCCAGTCCATGAGGGCTCTGGATTTCAACACCAGGACACAAGTGACTAGGTGAGCTCTGCCTCTCCCCCAGGGGCTGCTCATTTTAGGGAGGGGTGAGGAAGTTGTCTGGGCCTTTCAGTGGGGGCCAGCAGCTGCTGCAGCCCATCAAACAGTAATTCCAGTGCACTTTGCCCACCCAAAGAAACTCTCACTTTGCCAGAGAGTTTCCACTTTGTCACCCTGTTTATCCTTTGCTGATCCCTGTGTCCCCACTGTTCCCAGTGCTGTGTTTGTTTGGGGGGGTCTTGGGGCAAGGCAGGCACTGTGGGGGCTGACATTTCACTGCACTCCCTGCAGGGAGGCCATTGGGCTGGTGTGTGAGGCTGTGCCTGGTGCCAAGGGAGCCGTGAGGAGGAGGAAGGTGAGGCCTGGCTGGGAAGCTGCAGCGGGAGTGTTTGTGGCTGGTTTGGGCACAGGGCCAAGGACCAGATCCCAGCCCAGCTGGCAGTGCTGTGCTGTGCTGGTCAGCCCAGGGCTCTGATCTCCAGGCTGAGGCTTGGGCCAGAGCCACAGGAGAGGACAAGGTGCCCATCTCTGCTGGCAGCAGTGGGATGTGCCCTGTCCTCCTGCTGCTGCGCTCTTTGGTCTGGGGAGCCCTTTCTCTACTCCACCATTTGCCCCTAGCCCTGCAGCCGCTCCCTGAACTCCATCCTGGGCAAGAGCAACCTGAAGTTTGCAGGCATGCCCATCACCCTGACCATCTCCACCAGCAGCCTCAACCTCATGGCCTCAGACTGCAAGCAGGTGAGAATGGGGAAGGGTTGGTTTGGACAAGCAGGAATCCTCATGTAGCTCAGATCTTGCTGGGGCAGGGGGTGGCCCCAGCCTCCCCAGGGAATGTCTGCATGGGCTGTGAGATGAGTGCTCACCTTCCCACAGTCCCTGGGGCTGAAGAGGTGAGAGGAATATCCTGTATGCTTTGTGGGATCTCTCCCGGAGACTGTGAGACCCAAATCCCCTTGATCTCCTGGTTTTGACCCCAGTCCTGGTGATGTCCCAGTCCTTTTCCTGGTGGTCTGTGGCTCGTAACCAGGGCTCTGGAGGATTTTGAGCCCCCATGGCAGGTCAGCCCTGGGGAGGAGCAGGATTTGCCACCCGTGGGTGGGTGACAAGGCATTCCTGGCTGTGTCCAACAAGCTCTCCTCCTTGCAGATCATCGCCAACCACCACATGCAGTCGATTTCCTTCGCATCAGGGGGAGACCCGGTGAGTACCTGCAGGATCCCCATCTGTGCCCTCTGCCCAGTGCTCCCCAGCTGCCCCAGCCTCACTGCTGCTGTCTCACCCACAGGACACAGCTGAATATGTTGCCTACGTTGCCAAAGACCCCGTCAATCAGAGAGGTGAGGGTGCTGCAGGGGTCCTCAATGCCAAAACCCCACTTTGGAGGTGTTCAGGGTCAGCTCAATGTAGGGGGGAGCTGGGTGACCCCTAAGAAAGCTCTGGGGTGTACAGGGCAGGCTCAGGTCTGGAGAACCTTGGTGCTGGAGTTGCGCAATCCCAGCCCTGTGTTTCCTATCCAGCCTGCCATATCCTGGAGTGTCCTGAGGGCTTGGCCCAGGATGTGATCAGCACCATCGGGCAGGCCTTTGAGCTGCGCTTCAAGCAGTACCTGAAGAACCCTCCAAAGCTGGTGACCCCCCACGACAGGTCAGTGTGACAGTGTTCACAGGGGTTCTTGGGTCATGGAAGAGATGAGGATCTGACTCCATGTTTCAGAAGGCTGATTTATTATTTTATGATATATATTACATTAAAACTATACTAAAAGAATAGAAGAAAAGGTTTCATCAGAAGGCTGGCTAAGAATAGAATAGCAAAGAATGATAACAAAGGTTTGTGGCTCAGCTCTCTGTCCAAGCCAGCTGGGCTGTGATTTGCCATTAATTACAAACATCCAAGATGGGCCAATCACAAATCCACCTGTTGCATTCCACAGCAGCAGATAATCATTGTTTACATTTTGTTCCTGAGGCCTCTCAGCTTCTCAGAAGGAAAAATCCTAAGGAAAGGATTTTCATAAAAGATGTCTGTGACAGGTCAGAGAAGGGTGGTGTGACAAGGAGGAAGGTGGTTCTGGAGAGGAGATGCAGCCCTGGCTGCTGTCACAGGCTTATCTGTGCTGTGCTCCCCCAGGATGGCAGGGTTTGATGGCTCTGCCTGGGATGAAGAAGAGGAGGAACCAGCCCCAGATCACCAGTACTACAACGACTTCCCTGGCAAGGAGCCTCCCATTGGGGGGGTCGTGGACATGCGGCTGCAGGATGGGGCAGCTCAGACCCCAAATCACTTGGGTGCCACACTGGTGAGGCTCTGGGCACATCCTCTCGGGGAGGCACCATCTGATAAGGGAGATGTAGGGACCCTGAGTGGGCCATGGGCTCTGCTGAGGGTTATTTGTGCCTCCCTGGTGTCTCTGGGGTGTGGGGAGCAGGAAGGGGGGTGAGCAGGAAAAGGGGATGGGGGCTCATCTCTGCCTCTCCCTGCAGCCTGTTGGCCAATCCGGTGGGGAGTTTGACGCCCAGAAGCAGCACGCTCCTGCCCAAGGTAATGTGGTGGGTGTCTCCATCCTCTCCCATGGGCCCCCAGTGCTCTGATGGTGGGGGGCCAAGGTGGGCTGAAGCCCACCCTGCTGACCACAGTGCTCCTGCTAGCAGGGAGAGAGAAGTACCCAGCTCCAGCAGGCACGGCTGGGCGCACAGACCTCTTTGATGACCCGTCCTACGTCAACGTGCAGAACATAGACAAGACAAGACAAGCTCCAGCTGCCAGCACCCCTGCCACGGCCAATGGCAGCACACAGAGGGACCTCTTTGACATGAGTGAGTGAACAGTGCCTGCAGCCAGGGCTGTGTAGAGGTGGCTCTGGGATTGGTCATGGTCCCCCTGCTCTGCATTAGGAGTCTCCTCAAGCCAGGTCTCATAAGCTCTTAGAGATCTATTTCACACCCAAGATAGCTCAGCTACCTTAGAAGGCATAAAAGCAGCAAAATGGCTTCTGTGGTAGTGCTGGAAACAAAATGTTTTCATAGGCAAAATATCAAACTCTTTACAGAGAAAAACCAATCCAAGTACAAGAAGCCATCCTGCCCCTAGTAAAACACCTCCCAAAAGCAATTAATTTCTTTGTTCTCTTCCTAGTAAATTGCCCAAGCAAGACTTTTTAGCTCCTGTCCAATTAGCTATCCTTAAGTTTGAAGTCCTCCAAGTCCTATGAGATGCCTTTTCACTTAATCCAAAATAGAAATTTCCTTTTTAAAGGGACAAAGGATGGTTTTGTCACTCCCTCACCAAGAGGCACATTCCTACAAAGCTCCTCTGTCCTTGCAGAGCCCTTTGAAGATGCCCTGCGTGTGCCCCCCTCTGTGCCTGTGGGGCTGCCCCCTGCCCAGGTTGTGGCCTCCATGGAGGAGCAGCTGAGGAGGGAGCCCTGGTACCACGGCAAAATGAGCCGCAAGGAGGCCGAGAAGCTGCTCAAGGTCAACGGGGACTTCCTGGTGAGGGAGAGCACCACCACCCCGGGCCAGTATGTGCTGACTGGCTTGCAGGGTGGGCAGCCCAAGCATCTGCTGCTCGTGGATCCCGAGGGAGTGGTGAGTCCATGTAGGGGATGGAGATTGGGGCAGCACGGGGTGTCCTAGGGGTTATCAGAGCCTCCAGAGCATTGGGGTTCTGCACTGCTGGGCTGGCTTTGGGGATGGGCAGAGCATGGGTTGGAGCCTGCAGTGCTAGCTCTGTGCCCAGCCCGTGCCAAGGGGGGTGGTAGCTGTGGCCTCACATGGGCACTGACAGCATCCTGAGCACCCCTGTTCTGTCCCCCCAGGTGAGGACAAAAGATCATCGCTTTGAGAGCGTCAGCCACCTCATCAGCTACCACATGGACAATCACCTGCCCATCATCTCAGCCGGCAGTGAGATGTGCCTGCAGCAGCCCGTGGAGAGGAGACTGTGAGCGCCCAGGGCACCCCAACGCGCAGCCCTGCGCCCTGTTCCGTGCCCCAGGGAGCCCTCAGACTCTCCAGGTGCTCCACCCGGACTGAGCATGGACTTGCCTGAGGACAGGGCCTCTCTCCTTTCACCACGTGGAGCTGGTGGCCATGGGGGGCTCAGGCTGCGAGTGCCTGCAGGGCAGGGAATTGTTCCAGCCTTTGCAGAGCAGCTCAGCTCCTACCAAAACCCAGCCTGTTCTTGTGCTCACCAGCACGGGCTCAGGACTGGCAGAGCTGAGCCCCCCTGAGCCAGAGGCAGCCTGTCCTTATCTCTGGCCCCTGGGCCAAGGAGGGGGCCCGTGGGGGGCTCTGCTCCCCCAAGCACGAGGCCCTCGACTGTACCGGATCACTTTACGTGTTAACTCTGTGCCTTGACCCTGCAGGTCCCACACTCTTATGCAAGGGCAGGGGCTGGTTACAGAGCCTCCCCCGTGCTCCCAGCACCCTGTACCCCCTCCGTGACATGCTTGTGCTCCAGGACACGTTGCCACCATGTCCCCTTCCCTCCATGCCCATGCCGGCTGGGCAAGGGCAGCTCCGGGCAGCCCCGGGGGGTTGGCGGGAGGACCCCCCTGCATGCACAGTGTAACTCCCCCAAGCCAAAGCGCAGCCTCGCAGCCCCTGCCCCGCTATACCAAAGGAACTGGCGGTTGTATTAAAGTTGGTATTTCTCTAGGTCCTGCCTGGTGTGAGCTGGGAGGGGTCGCGGTGTGAGCTGGGCGGGTGGTTCCCCCCCGGCCCTCGTTCGTGGTTTGTCCCGTCTGGTCACCCCCCCATCCCCTCCAGCCCCCCCATCGCGCTGCATTTGGTTTGGTCCGACGGGTGGTGGGGCGGG